GGCATGACATCTGCTGCTTGTCAATAGGGAGCTGGAAATGGTGCCAATCAGTGTGGTTGATGTTAGCAAACACCATAACAGTGCTGGGAAGTGTGGGAACGTTCCACTGAGGAGATGAGGCAAGCCAGTTCACAAAAGAAGGCAGTGGCCTGTAGCAGAATGTAAACATAGGTCGCAACAACAGAAATGAACTTTTCCTGGAAGGAGAATGAACTCTGTGTGAGTCTCCATTGAGGTGAACAAAACCTTTAATATGTGAAATAAATAACCTCACCTTCAAATTTAGACGGTATTTCAGTTCACCTGTAAGCATGAAAAATAGTGTGATCTGGAGGGATCATTTCAAGCTCTGGTACAGATTGGGGGTTTTGGCCTAAATAGCTTTCAAGTGTTCATTTTTGTGCCTGAATAGTTGAATATTTTGAAGCCCATAACATTGTTTTCTCCTTTTATTTTCCTTTATTTTTAAAGCAGTGCTGTATTGTTGGTATTTACACTGTATCAGTGTGAAAGGGGTCACTTCTATTGACGGCTTTCTTACTGGCTTTAGTATAGAAACTCTAAACCTCCACTCTACACTACATGCTCAGCAGCACTTAAAGAGCCAGATGTTTCCCTCAGAAAGTGGCAGAGACCAGAAAGGTCAGATCTTTAAGCTTAGTGCTGATTTCTGTCGTTCTGGGTGTCTAGAAGGGAAACAATGTGTGTATGCTTTGTCACAGATGTTTAGGAGGGTCATAACAAGATGGTTGGTACATTTACATTGTCACCAACACTGTTTCTATTGTAGCAGTAGCCGAGAAACACATCGTTTTCATATACTGACTAAACCTTTTGTGCAATTTTATGAAAACATGTTTAACTTACAATAGTAGATGACCTGGAAAAGGTGTAATAGCAACACACGATCGATGTTTACCAATTTCACCACTGTGTGAAGAGAACAGAGAACATGTAGCACTGTTATAAATTTTTATTATATCTTTTGGGTTTTAGAGAGGGGGAAATGGTATGAATTCATTTACAAAGTCATGAATCATGAATTATTTAATAATCTATTTACATAGCCTTGCGTACAGCAACCCATCATCCTCATTCACGCTCTGTGCTGCCATTTCTGACCTAAATTACAACTGCTGGTAATTATGTTTGACTGGCTTATTACATGTATAAGTCTATTCATGCACCAGTTGACCAGAGACTTAGTGATTTGAAATTATAAAAAAAAAATTTTTAGCATCATCTGGCTACATGAGTGCTAGCAGCCAAAATCCATTTTGTTCAAAGAAGACCAAGAAGGGTATCAGATTACAGGATATAATAACAGTGGTGTAAAAGCATATCGTTGACAGAGATTTTCCATACGAATTAGTCACTTAATGTTCCCAGTGTCCTGTGCAGTTGGATGGGGGTTTGCATGTAACATTAGACCTACTGTGTCTGCTCCCATTCCTCTCAACACCTGTCCCAAAAGGCAAATTAATCCCATATCCAAACATACCCCTCTCTCCCCATCCGTGTGCAGACACGGCACATCTGGTCTAGCCATTATCCATGGCCTGCCGTGAATCTGGAAAAAAAAATCACATGGAACTTTCACATGGAGAATGTAGGTACTGCGCCTCTCTCCTGGAGAGACAGCTTATAAGTGATTTTTTTTCCAGAATCCCCCACTCTCATTTTCTTCCTTTTCTCCTCCTACAACCTCAAATACTTCATGGTAAAGAAAGGGAGACACGTAGGCACCTGAAATTGCTTTAGTATTCTACTGTATGACAAATTTTCCTTTCTTTACAGAGAATGTTTATATTTTACTATGGCATGAAGTCAATAAGATATTAAAAAAAAACCCACTAAGGCTATAAATACAATCCAGTGCAGACCAGTGCGTGACTGTGTCTTTCTGCAGAGTAGTGTGTTCCTGTGCCCAGCGCTCAGGTGGTGGCTGCGACATGGCTGTTGGCTGTTCTCAGTCCAACTAAATAACATCATCAACAGCCAATCACAGGGTCCTGCACTGGGCCCTGAAGATCAAAACCACAGGGACTGGACATGCCTGCAAAACTGCTTTTTCATGCTCATTTACGCAAATGTAACAGATGTACAGACATGTATTGCTTTAAGGGGAAAATATTAATGCTTTTCTGCTCAGAAATCTGTTTCTCATTGCTTCAGACATTTTGCCTGAAATTATTTTGAAGTCTTGTGTTACTCTGTTCTCTGGCCATACCACCACGGAATGCAGCTTTGATATACAGCTGCAGAAACAGAAAACAGAACACAACAGTATCCAGACCTATTCTAAGGTTGGGTGATTTATGATTTGAAACAGAAAAAGTCATCTACATGACCATCTTTTGATCTCTACCTAAATCGAGCAGAGTTTTACTTTTTTATTACACATTGAGAATCTGTACTGATTGCCAGCTTTAAATCAAAACAACATATAGTGGGCTATATAATTATGCATTATATGGATTTTCCTAACAGATTTGAGTCCTAAGTTAAAAAGCATACACACAAAAACACACAGAAACAATCAAGAATATTGTTGGCATATTTTCCCTTTCAATTACACAGCTGACGCTAAATTCTGTCTCGGCAGCTCCATCATTCACGGCCCCATACCTGCAGGATGTGTGTCTATATGTGTGTGTGTCACTAGATATTAAAAATTTGTGGGTGCATGTCTGTGCATATGTAAGTGAAAAAAGGCTGAGTGCAAGGGATGGACTATATGGCCCATCTCCGCACCTCTTTCAACCTGCTCAGTGAGCCATGTGCTTGGCCTTGTAAACTGCAGCGCTACTTGATTACTTTGTCAGTCTTCTTAAGTGGCTTTTGCTCTGTGGCGAAAACAGGAAGACATGTCTGACAGAGGATGTTCAGTAGAGAGTAGGAAGTGCTGGGAGGTGAGTGGAGGCGCTGCATCCAAATGAAGGGATTTTATATTCTGCTGTCTTGTGAGTGAATAATGGAGTATCATCAGCCCTGTTAAGTTTTTTGATGTGCTGGATTTTATGTGTTGTATCAAACCAGACAACCGGAATCTCAGTGTCATGCAACACTTTTGTGAAGGACCCATCCTCCCTCTGCTGTGTATACTACTATTGTATGTCACCCTCACGTCTCCTTAAGAAGACCTGGGGGACCATGGAGGCAATTAATTTCTCATACCAAATTCGGTGCATAGCCAGTTCACCTCTCTAGATACAATTAAATTAATTTAGAAAGACATGTCAAACACACTACTCCTAAGTTACCTTTCAAGGAGAGGAAGGTAAGGCTGTAGATGGGCAACTTCACTGTCAGGTTTGTAGAAAAATTGTGATGATACCAGCAGATGATTTCCCTCTTATTTATATGATTTACATAATGTCTAAAGGGTTTCTTAATATCTGCTGTACAGTAATAAAATAAATCTGTCTAACATCTATGTAATGATTTCTGTCCTGGTAAATCCAGTTAGACAGTGCCACATCTTGGCAAAATTAGGTACACATTTCTTTATACAGTTCTTATCTGGCAAGATGGCTTTTTGTGATACAGTACATGGAAAAGATTACATGTTTCTGATTAAAGTCTTAAAATAGAAACATCTTCACCAAAGGATATTTAAAGAGGCAGGGTACACCCTGGATAGGTCGGCAGTCTATCACAGGACTGACACATAGAGACAGACAATCACACACACCCACACTCACTCCTACAGGCAATTTAGTTGCCAGTCAACCTAAGCTACATGTCTTTGGACTCTGGGAGGAAGCCGAAGTACCAGGATTGAACCCACGCAGGCACAGGGAGAACATGCAGACTCTGTACAGAAAGGCCCCGGGTTGGCCCGGGCTTGAAACTGGAACCTTCTTGCTGTGAGGTGACAGTGCTAACCACTGCATCACCATGCCACCCATGTCACTGAACTTATGGTTGAGAACTTCAAATTGAACCCCACTCTTTGTTGATTTAATTAATCATGTTACTTTACCTAAAATGTCAAACAGGTCATTATATTACACCAAGAGAACAAAAAGGAATATTTTGAATATTATACATAAAGAAGTGGTGGTTGTTGTACTTTGGAGCAGCATGGTGGAAATCCCAAAGTCAGTAATGCTATTGATACTGACAGACAGGAACATGATGAGACACGTCAGCTAGGCACCAGTGAAGCAGGACAAAGTGGAAGACAGTAGGGAATGACAGGCAATCAAATAAGACACATTACTGATAAAAAATAAGAGACATAATATTCCTGCACTATGTTCCAAAAATAATGGTAAGCTCTGGGCTTATAGAAGTCTCCACCAAGGACAAGAAGCTCTGATGATGTAATACACAGTAATATACAACTTGAATTGGGCACTAGGCTAGGTACATGTGATACAAATGCAGTGCAGTATGTGCAGGTTTGCATGTACAAGCAGATGGAGAGATCTATGATTCTGTTTGAGATAATACCAGGGCTCAAAAGCCTTATGTTAAAATTGCAAATGCTGTTTTCTTCTGAAAAGGAAAATACTGACAGTGATGCCCCCTCAAAAACACTTTAATAATCAAAATTAAATTCTACTTTGTCACAGCAGGAAAAACAGAAATAAAGAGCAAGGAAAGTAAAATAAAATGAAACAGATAAATAGGGGAATACAATCAAGTGTATTTCAGAAGGTAGTTATAATAAGCCATTGTACATATATTCTTTTTGTTGTGTCAGAATTTTACAGAATGTATAAATTGAGTAAAATCATGACGGGAAGCAAAATAATGGTAATATAATAACATTTGTTAAGAAAGGATTTCCACACATCCTTAACACTTATAATAAAATCAACTTTGGGTCCCTTAAATTGAAAAAATTATAATATTTTTAAAGAAAGTTTAAAATGGTGTTTATAATGTTAACAATCGAAAAAGAGAGTAATTCTTTTTGTCAGTTCATTTATTTTGTGAAGAAGAAGAAAACGGAAGTGATGTCATTTTGGGGGTGGGACTACCTGGTTTTAACTTCCACCAATAGCACGCTTTCTTGTTAAAATATGAAAATGGCGGCTCTGTGCAGTGAATTCGGGGACTTGGTACAAATCAAGAAACAGCTAATATCAGCGATATCGCTTTGTAAAGACAGAGGACTTTTACACAGCACGAAGTGGTGAGACTGACAGCGAGTAATGCGTCATTAATTGGTTTTTCTACACTGTTGGTTTAGTATTTAGCTAAAGCTAAACGTTGAAAAGTTGCGTGTCTGTTAGCCAACGTTAGCGGCGGTGTTGACAAGTCATTTTATTGTTAGCTTTGCTGTCAGCGAGGATTAAACTGGAATATTAGTGCTGGACGTTTATTGATTGTGCTTGTGTTGTCCAACAACCTACATGATTTCTAATGTCAAAGTTTTTTCTTAGATGTTACTTGGATTAATTTGCATTTGTTGTAAATTGTTGTTGGACGCAGTCTTTGTGCTTTTTGCTTGATGTAGTGAGAAATCTGACCCTACCAATCACTCTAACCGCAATCACTGTCATTAACATGTCATATGCTTTCTGTGCTTACATTGTAGGGCTTCTGAGTTGGCTTTTGCATTGGACCCTCTTCCCAAAGATGAATTACCACCAGCAGCTCCTTTTACTGAGGTTTGTACACTGTCAGGGCCCACGCTTTTCTGGGGTGTAATTGTTTTCGTTATTTTTAATCATTTGCCATTCCGTTTCCCACCATTTCCTTTTTAAATAGCTGTAGGGTTTAACAGTAATTATTCATTATTTCATATGTTCTATTGGTATTACATACTGTACCTATTGAAATGGATCATCAATTTTCCAAAACGGCTGGTAACTCAAACAGGGGTAAATAGTGAATTTGCTGGGGGCTTTGTATTTTCAGCCACAAAAAAATGTACTAGTGAGTATTCATAGGCAGAATCAGAAAAACTGCATTACAAAATGATGGCAATTTGTGTTTGATATGCACATGCAGATACATACAAAATAAAGACATACATGTAGCAAAAATATACACATACCATTTTACATCAACAGGACAGTTGGTCTACAGTGCTCATGTTCATTGTAATGAAGGAATATGACACAGTGGAGCAGTTTGTGGACAGCAATGGTTGTCTGTGGGCCAGAGGGAAAAGATGTATCAGGATTTTGCTACACGTATAGTAGTTATTTTTTGTGGAAGATTATTTATTTAATTCTTAGTTTTGATCTTTTTGGGGGCTTTGTTGACAGTAACAAAGATGTATAATACTGTATTTCCAGACCTATCCTTTAACATAATAATGGTAAGAAATGCATCTGAGCATTAAAATTTAGGGCTCCAGACTAACATTCCAGATTTGATGGCACTAATCACGTTTTACAAAATAATATAAAGTAATCTATTTTTAGCAAATTATTTTTAAGTAATCTTACCATCCAATGTGCATAGCCTTTATTTATAATTAAATTAAGGGAAAGGGAGACCAATGAAACTCAGTAAATGGGAAAATTGCTTCTAGAACAACTTTCTACTGGACAAAAAATTGTTTTCATGTTGGTCCATCAGCAGTTTTTATATGCATTTATTAACTTTCCCGTCTTGCTACAACAGAAAGCCCACAGTGACACCAGGAGCCTGATCCATTAGAAGAGATTCTAGTTAAAAGTTTCTAACCCATAAATAGGCCAACAGGTGATCTACCGTCTGTGGTGATTGCACTTCAGATACACCAAAGGAAAAAACTGATTCAAAACGTTATAAAGGGGTCCAGGGATAACACGTCTGTCTCAGGCATGATGTGGCTCAACATGTTTGATTGGAAGTCGCTGCTTCGTGAGACAGGCAAGTAGCAGACTTGCAGATAAACGCTGTGATGACAGTATCGTGGCGATTGTTATGTTTGTCTACTAGTTAGACAGTGAGAGCAGTTGTTGTGCATAACCTGTTTATTTTTCAGTTGCACCCAGTGCGACCTTTGAAGAAAGTCAGTCGCACCTTAAATAAATTTTGTCTTGGAATGAGACTGACCACTTGCAGTCTGGACCTCTGGTTAGATGTAAAATGAAAGCTGTTCAGTACAAGGTTGTTCACTGAAACCTTTTGGATTAGAGATGAAAAGCTGCAGGTCAGATCCAAAGGTTATCAACTTTGCTGTTAATGTACATATACTGCCCCCTGCTGACAGTTTTAGTTTGAAGGGAAAACTGGGTAATTGTTCAGATGCTGGCTGTATAATTGCTACTTTATAAAAGCCCTTTTTTGTTTTTCAGTTGCATTGATTTTTTTTTTTTCAGCTAAAGATGATTAGGATTACTTTTCTTTTTAATTCTCTGTCCAAAATATAGGAAGATGCACAAGACCTGGATGCATTTACACTGGCCAAAGCGTACTTTGACCTGAAAGAGTATGACCGTGCTGCTTACTTTCTGAAAGGCTGCTGCAGTCAGAAGGCCTATTTCCTATATATGTATTCTCGCTATCTGGTAAGATTTTGTAGATATATGGCAGTTCTATATGCTCATCCTTAATTTTATGTCATGATAATAATAATTCTTATAATTTGATTTTAGTAAACTCTTGAATTTTTCCTCAGTCAGGTGAGAAGAAGAAGGATGATGAGACAGTGGACAGCCTCGGTGAGTACTTGTCTGTTTAGGCCAGTATTGGAAGACTGAACTTTTTTTTTTTTCCCTTTGACGCTGAAGTTTGAGGTGCTTTTCTTTGTGTTTCTAGGTCCTCTGGAGAAGGGTCAAGTACGCAATGAAGCCTTAAGAGAACTAAGAGTTGAGCTTAGTAAGAAGCACACTGCAGGCGAGTTGGATGGCTTCACGCTGTATCTGTAAGAACTTTTCCTCAGCATGGTGCAGACTTTCCACAGATTCTGCAGAGGAATAAAGCTGGCAGTGCTCATAGACTGTATGTTACATGTGTGTGCATGTATGGAACACAGGTATGGAGTTGTGCTACGGAAACTGGATTTACTCAAGGAGGCTGTGGATGTGTTTGTCGAGGCAATTCATGCACTTCCTCTTCACTGGGGAGCCTGGCTGGAGCTTAGTAATCTTGTCACCAACATTGAAATGGTAATGATCTTTTACAGAGATTATACAGTGTTCTCATTAACTTTCTGCTCCCACAGTTGTCATTTACTGTTCACTCATAACAACCCCACGACTTTGAAGCTGTACTTTGAAATCTCATGACAAGCACAAAATATGGAATAAACAACAAATGTTTGCCTATTTGATCAGTGCAAAGAAACTTAAATGAAGTAAAGTGACTCTGTTCCTTGTTCTCTTGCTCCTTCTCCTCAGCTGAAGTCACTGTCCCTGCCAGACTGCTGGATTAAAGACTTCTTTATGGCCCACATGTACACAGAGCTGCAGATGATCAAAGAAGCGCTGCAGAAATACCAGAACCTTATTGAGGCTGGCTTTTCTAAGAGCACCTACATCATCTCACAGATTGCTGTGGCCTATCATAACATTAGAGGTTCGTTTTCTACCTTATCAATTATAT